GATTTCAAAAACGAAATAAACGGAACTGTAAAGGCGTGATATTTCTAGTTTCAGTTTTCACATTCGTTGTTGTACACTGAAGAACAAAGCATGTGCATACATACTGGATACATTGTACATGCATTTATGATCAAAATAAGTACATACATGTGTAGCCAATCAAGCCCCCTATTTTGCCCTCGTTTTACTCTGTAATTCAAATGTGTCTAGAATTGTGCCTACCCTTTCAGAGTATACATACAGCAGTGATCAACATCACCTCCTCAGCTATCACCTACTACACTATCCTAGAGCTATCCCATAAGGATATACCTGAAACTTGCTATTCTTGTTTGTTTTTCTCAGTGACTGTCAAGAGCTAGAACGAGGGCACTGGCACTTATAAACGGTAATTTTTCCACAACACTTTTTACTGTTGAGAGTGGAATTCACGGCCTTTGCCTATTTAATATGCATGGGTCAAGCGGGGCGCAACTTCAGTGCCATTGTGCCAACAACATGTAAATGCGTACAAATTTTATTAGCCTAATGCTTGCGAAAGCAAAGAGTTCACAAGACATTTATGAGAATAGACATTTGACTGGCTATTAAAGATCTAATCAGGAGTAAATCCTGGCTTAGGCAACGCTTGCGCGAATTGGGATCTACTTTGGAGCTCCCATAACGGCCGGATCTTCTAAAAGCGGACAAAGTGTTGTCTTGATATTTCCGGAGATTACAGTATTGGCCCCAATAGATGCGGGGACTTTTATAGCCTTTGAATATCACATAGCAGTGCATCCTCTTTCTAATCGTCCTTTCCCCTCGGCCCCCAAGAGGTGGGACAATCAGATGTGACATTTCCGAGCTTAGCGGTTCAGCTACTCAGCGGACCATGTGCCCCACCCGCTCAGAACGCAGTTCTGTTCCCGAGGGGAGCTCCGGAAAAAGGGGCTCTCACTAGAAACAACCCAGGGAAAAGAGATGTGGCAGCGGACGTGGACATGAATGTGAATTCGAGGTGGTCAGGTCAGGTCTGGGAAATCTTTGCCCCCTGAATGGCTTTTGTAGCTTTTGTTGTTTTAGCCCGCCTTTGTTTTTTTTTTGTGATTTGGCACTGCGGTGAGCTGTTGCTTCGACAGAGCCCCCATCAGACAGAGGGTCCCATCTGGTCTGGATATGTATGGGCTGAAGGAAATGACGGCAGGACACTGCCCCACTGGGACCTCGGCTCCATCTTTGTGTCAACTTCCATTTTCACTTTCGCTGCTTTTAATAAAATTTGCTGTGTGCCTCCGCACTCCACACTTTTCGGCTAAAGGCCAGCCGAAGACTCGCCACGCTTTATTGTACGTTTTAATCGCAGTGTTGGAATTTAATAATTTTAAGTGAAAGTGGCAGGGTCCGCTTGGGTCCCGGGTCGCCGTGCTGCTGGACGGTTGGCCTGTTGGGCGGGTTGGACTGGGCTGGGCTCAGAGCCTCCGTTTTATTTTTCTCTCAACAATTTAAACACCTGTTTGGCGTTTTTGTTTCTGGCTTTCTAAGTAGCGAGATGATCCTGTCCGTGCGTCTGTCCCTGTTGGGTCTGTTAAAGTCTCCATTGTTCACTCATGCCTGTAATTATATTACGGCCAAGGCCTATCCCCGACCTCGGAGCTCGGAGTCCAGTGGATACAGCTATGGTGCTGATGCTTTTTGTTTTAAAATTTTTCGTTTTGTCTTGTTTTTTTTCTGAGTTATTTTTCGCGCAGAAAGACCTTTTTATTTATATATAACTTTGAAGGGATGCCGAAAATCTCACTCTTTATGCGAATGAATGAGAGCGTAGATTAAAGTTATATTTTTCTGTACATATTTCGAATATATTTTTCGCTTTATTTTCAAGCGAAAATAAAAGAAGAAATTGGTCCGAATTAAATAGGATTATCTCTATGGATACAGTCATTTGAAACTCGCACGGTTTGGATGTAAAACATGAACCTGGAGTGAATTTTAATGGTTTGGTTTTTAATCACATTCGACTTATTTTGCTAATTATTTGTTTAGAAACTGGTCTTGGTTTGCTTGCTTATGGTGTGTTTAAATAAAATGGGGTGTTGTGGCTTTGGCTAAGTCATCTGGACTGAGCAAAAGTACTCGTTTCTACTAAAAAGTAAGGGAAACTAACTCTTTAAGATACAGGAGCGGGGTTGGGAGATTCAGTGAGCGGTTCTCCGCCCAATCTATGGTCCTCACATGGACGCATTACTCCGTGCACATAGATACGCAGCTATTACGATAAATGCTTTTTGGTGTAAATCTCTCAGGCAGTACGAGCAGCACGTGCGTGTCCAACTATATTAACAGTAGGTCCCATATTCCCGCCCTTCTGGCTTCAATTATCGTTGAAGCGACCATAAAAACGCCTAATTACACCATCCCGTTTTCCAATACGTACGGCACACATACGTAGTGCCAAGTTCACAACTAGACAGCGGACGGGCGGACTACTGTACACCCATCGACACACATGTGGCATGCCTAAATAAATCATGCATTTACTATCACCGAGTCATTTCTCCTGGGCCCCGGTTTTGATTTCGATTGTGTGATAAGCAAAATGAAAGCGAAAGCAAAAATAAAATGAATCCAAATGCCACGCAACCGCAGAGTTTTTCCCGACCATCACCGACTTTGAGATACCTTAGTATTGTCTTGTGGGGTATTGAAAATGCCAATGTGCAAAAAATTATTAAAAAAACAAAATAAAAAACAAAAAAAAAAAAAAAAAAACAGAAGGAGAGCAGAAGGATTTGTTGAAAGAGGTAATTCTGGCCAGGCAGCATGCATACGTCGGCGTATAAAATGACGGGAAAAATCCCTTTTATAATTTGTGGTGGCAGAGTTCTTATTATATGTATGTATACCAGAGGTCGGCACGGCCCTATCTCGGGGGCATAGGAAATTTCTCTGCCCGAGCTCTGCCACACACACACAGTATACATGTGTGAAACGTCATGCTCACAGCCTACTTTCTGCTATACGTTACTAACACTAATGCGGTAAAATCATATCAATGTATTGGGGTGCCGACCACTGATGTATACCTTTGGGAGATATTACGTTTCAGTAAATTTTTTTAACAATTATCCTCCATTGCCTTTAGCAAGAAAAGTACGACAGTGGAACACGATAATTAAATATTTGTTCCGAGCAAAAAGTAAAATAATTCAACAGTTGTTTTGCGTTTTTTATACACTTGCAGGAGGTAATATAATTTTGATCAAAAGTGTGCAACGCAGTGAAGGAGACATCTCCGACCCTATAAAGTATATATATTCTTGATCTTGATCAGTTTTAAGGCTATCGACTTGAAACTTTGGACACAAGAATTTTTCATATGCCCAAGAAACTTTTTCGCCTTAAAATAATAATAACAGAAATTATAAATGTATTTAACAAGAACGACCATAAAATAAATCAATTTTTTAATGTACATGCTTACACAGTGAAAGCACGTGATATTTTTAAATTGAGGTTAGGTTATCTTTTCGTATATTGCAAGCCGCACGGCACCTGACGGCACTTGAACTAAACTCTCTTATGTTCTTAAAATGCTTAAGAATATTATACAAAAGGATTTGTTAATGCCAAAGAGTGCCATCACAATTAAAACTCTAACCGAACACAGAAAAGACAAATTGAGAACGTTCACAATTATGTACTAAATACAATAATGATTTACCCATAACATAACACATCCTGAATATACTTTTTGTTGAAAAAGAAAGTTAATATCTTTCTTTAAAATATTAATCAATTCCATTGCACAAACACTTGGTTTAAATACGTTTAACATATTTTTTGCAAAGAGCTTCCCTTGCACGTTGCTTTGCTATCTCTTTCGATACTATTCTTGAAGATTTCAAGATTGCAGATAGAGCAAAACAAAAAGATGAATAAATGCAAATAGCTAGACCAATTAGACCAATTACCAATAAGAATTGGTACATTTAAAGTCAAAATTTTGAGTTGGTTTTTTTTTTATTTTTGGCCTACGGGCAGGCTACTGGTGGTATGGCCGTAGCTTTGTTTTTGTTTTTTTTTTTGCCCAAGCGCAAAAGTACACAACAAAATGTGCTGCTGAGAATCTATACCCTTAAAGTTTAAATTATAAAGGTTAGTTAAATTGTGGGTGGACGAGATAAGTACCGGGTATAATATATATAGCCGTCCTTTCTTGTTTTATAATATAATCGTATGATTACAACAGGCACATACGATCACATCTGAGTCCAAGCCAGGCAACTCCTTGGGTTGAGGCGGGCAGTTGTCCCGGGGCGGACAGTCCAGCGACCGGAGCAGCTCCAGATGTCAGTGCGCTTTTGTATATCCTTTGACTCGAATCCAATAAATATACTAACAAAAAATGCCAAAAATGTACGGAACCGAGCAAAGGTCGATGGGTTGCGGTACGGCCTACAAGGTTCTGCCTCCGGTGCCGCACCGCATCCCTGGGTTCGCAGCCAAAGGGTAAGCGTCTCGGTAATGAACATATTTGGAATGCATGCCACGCTCCGAGTAGGAGTAGCAAACACCGGAGTCTGAGCCTGAGCCGTAGCTGGAGCAGGAGCTACAATGGCCGGGGCGTGTCGCTCAAATGAATCTGTAAATGAGCGTAATTTAGGGTCTGGCCTTGGGAACTCCTTGCTTTGGGAATCGTTTTCGGTTACCCATAAAACATTTTGTGCGTGCCTCGGCCGTGGAAAGGGGAATGGGTATGAGGCTATACAATTTTCTCCCATTTTCTTAGTTTTTTTGTTTGGTGTGTGTTTCTTTTAGAACAAATCAATTCGGTTATTTTAAAGCATTTGCCAATCGAAAAGAAAATCGTTTTCCAATATAGTCGAAATAGGGAATTTATTAGCTTTGAAAATACGAGTATTGTGTCTTGGGAACAGTCCCAATAAGGGACTTCCGCTTGCTCCATTACTTCATTACATTTAGGTTTTGTAATACGATCTAGTGCGCAGGGAGAGTGAGTGAAGATTCTCGAATGGGATCAGTCTCCTTTTCGAACTGTCACACTCCAGATTTTATTCTGAGTCTGTTATTTCGTTAGTCTTTATAACATTTTCGTTCTTAAATTTTAGCCTATTGGGCCATGGACGACTCTAGTGAGCCAAGCAGTTCTGAGCTCTACGTAGCCGACGACGCCACTCCCGACACAGCAAGCACCTCAGCCGTCGAACCGCCTAGCAGGACTTTGAGTTTGCCGGCTGCAGGGATGGCAATGGGATTCGGAATCCATGGCACCGGATCCAATGTTCTTCTGAGTGGCGAGATTAAAGTGAGAAATGAGTCGCATAAGGAGACAGCTAAGGTGGAAGCAGAGGCAGACATGGATGGGAAAACCGAGGCGGAGCTGGAGGGCGCAGCTAATACGGAAGACGAGATGGACATGGACGATATACCGACGTGCAGCACAAACTGCCAAAAGAACAAACAGCGCTTTGTGATCAAGAAGTGGAATGCCGTGGCGCTGTGGGCCTGGGACATCGTCGTAGACAACTGCGCCATTTGCCGAAACCCGATCATGGACTTGTGCATTGAATGCCAGGCCAACCCAACCCTCAACTCATTCGAAGATTGCACCGTAGCCTGGGGAACGTGCAACCATGCTTTTCATTTTCACTGCATCTCCCGCTGGCTTAAAACTCGCCACGTGTGCCCTCTGGACAATCGGGAGTGGGAGTTCCAGAAGTACGGCCGCTAGTTTGAGGTTCATTTCCAGCGCTCAATAAACGCTCTTGAGTTTCGAGCCCGGTTCGGGTTCTGTCGTAGTTCCATCCAAAAATCTGATTCTCTTCCGTTCGTCCCCGGATATTGGTCTGACATAAAGGCGGGGTAGGAGTGGTTGCAGGGGGTTGGTTTGCGACTATAAATTAATTTTCAGCCACATGGAAACATGAGGAGGGAGAATCATTAAAAAGGGGAATCGTGGCGGAGAGTTCTTTTCAACTTTAATGAAAATGATGGAAGTTTTAGGAGCAAACTACAATCTAGCCTCAGGCTTGACGTTTGCCGCAATTCAGTATTTTCATTTTTCATTTTTTTTTTCAGCCTCATTTCGCAATTATAGTAGGGCACGCGAAAATGCGCGTACGCAAGCTGCTTACATCGGTTGTGGTTTTCGGGGATGCTTTACGACCTTTGTTCATCTAATGTATATCTCGGTTGAGAATATATAAAATCACTGGATGTAAGCCCTTTTCATTTAGAAACAAATTCGACTAGTTTGAGTATATTATTCGACAAGAGTCTGAAAGTCGACTGGATCTACTCGACCAGTCTATCCAGTCATGTTACATTCTGACCTTCTAATCTTGAGTTTTGTTTCAAAAAATACTCTACCATAATTAAAATAGAGTGCAATAGACTGTTTCATTCTATGGTCAGTTCCTGTAAAGACTCTGGCGTTTATGTAAATGTCATATAACTTACCTGCGGCACTTGGAAACAAGGATCAAGTTGGTCTAGATTTCTCTTTCCCAGTTTTCTCTTAAGAGGGCCGCAAGTAAGCCCTCGGTACACAGCTGCAATGAATAAACAGATGAATAAATTAGAGCCGGCACTCAATTGGATGTAGAATGAGAGGTTTTAATTAGCCCCCGGGCTTCTGAAATATTTTAGTTGGAGTGCTCACTCGGGCTTGAGTACTACATGGAGCACCAGCGTCATAAGGTACCACCGCATTAGCCGGCGAATGTAATCACCCGCCTCAGCCGCGATCAACTGTTGATGCTGCCTCATTAGACACCTAATCGACTAGGACCCCGTGTCCCACACCCACTTTGCCCGGAACTCCCGCTCCCACTGGCAAAAGGGCGCCAGTGCTTTCCTTACCGCACAGATGCCCACGAGGAGTGTTGATTGCCCATTCCAGCCAATTAGGGGACAGGGTAACAGAAAGGACTCGTGGCAGAGCGCCCAGGTTACCAAGAGCGCCACGTGAGTGCGGGCGGGGATTCCCCTGCGGGTTAGGTAGTGAGGTTCCGCTCTCCTACTGGTGGCTTGCGTGCCTGCGGATCCGGTTGTCGACCGGTGTCGTTGTGTGCATTGAAGTTTCTGGAGCTAGACTGCCAATGGATTTGTTTCAGTGTAGGAATGCAAGCGCCCAAACGCTGGATGCCAGGGGATGGCAAGCGGGAGATGGCCGCAACTGGCACCAGGCTCGGAAGCAGGATGGCAAAGGGGAGGTTGGAAGGACGGCAGAGGGACAAGGGTGGCGTGCGCCAGAGGGGTGTGCAAATCCGAATCCGAGGCAGGATCCGCATGCCAATGTCGAGTGTTGAATGTCGAGCGAGCTGCGACAGCTGCGGCTGCAATTGCAAATGCAAAAGAAACAGCCACTGCATTGTCGGGGAGACAGCTGCGATTCCAACTGTAATAGAAGCAACATAGCTCCCCTATTGTGGTCAGTCCGGAAAAATTCGCTAAGCCAAACAACCCCGCACGGTCCTTAATACTTCCTGCCTACTTTTTGTTAGAAGTACTTCGTCGCTCAGCCTCGGCCTCAACTCGATGATGAATCCCAACCAAAAAACCTCTCATACCTATGATTAGGTAGAAGATTCCCTATTAAAACTCACATACATTTTTCAAAGGCCTCCTCTCTTTCAAAACAATTTCAATGGCAGCCATGGAATGTAGTTTGATAGATGCGTATGAAGCGCATTCATTGCTGATGGAAAAAGTAGAAAAAATCATTTTTCAGAGTTTAATAAGTCGGATTTCGTTGCATTCGTGCACCTCTATACATGGAGTTTTCTTAAAGCTTGCACTTGTGTTTATAGGCACCCTCGAAGAGAAAATGTACTTGTTACAATGAAAGGTCCTAAAAATCGAATAAAATATAATAGAGGAAACAGTTTTTTTAGTGTTGTATAAACTGAAGCACGCACGGATCCATCGGAATATTAATCCATTGAAATATTTTTGATAAGCTGTGTTGGCGTTTTATTAAAAACGATTATTTTACCCTTAAAGTTATACAGAAGTTTGTTGAAGATTTGATAACTGGCTTTAAGCTCGAACACGTTTTACGACAATGCGATGGCTCAAGCGATATGCATATGTCTGTAGAAAGAAGTCGGTTTCACTGCTAATTGTGATAAAAATCGGAAAACACGATTGGCACGGCCCAGCCGTATTCGATGTCATGGAGCGGAGTAGTGGTAGTAGAGTGGAGTGGATTATCGTGATGAAATTGCATTTGGTTTGCAAATCAGCAACTGAATCTGTCAGTTCATCAGGCAAATTCTTTGATCATATTTCATCACAGCCCAAGCACTCCCCGAATTACTTATTCAGTCCGCCCGCCGTCTTCGTCTCGGTCTCCGTCTCGGCTTTTCAGGTCAGGACTCATCTTCTTTTCACACACCTTGCACTTAAGCGCAAGAAAGTTTCAGTTCTCCGGCTTGTTTTGATGCATTTCTAATTTCGTGGCAGGCACTTGGTGACAACTCCCCAAGATGTCGATGTTGGAGCTCTTGCATAGCTGCGTCCACGCCAGAGGCAGCTTCTAGGCGGGTGGTTTTCAGGAGAGTGCCTGAAGCCCCTAATAGCCTTCCCGAAAGTCACAAACATATTTTTCTTCAGAAAAATACGCGTACAGTTCTCTGCTTGCTTATAAAAATATCAATTTAAGGTGTTCATTCAATTAAATATTTTAAATATAAAACTGTGCCATCTTTTTAGTGCAGCTCGGATTATGACTTTAATGGATTGCGAACTATTTGGGAGAAGTAGTAGATGGATTAAATTCCGTTTAAATCGGAGCGAAGGCTTTGCTTCGAGGAAGTGATGCACTTTTTGTCCACAGTGCACTGCGACACGGTAAAGGGGGCAGAAGCTCGGGCGCAGAGACGGTGTGCCACAATGTTTGCGTTGCCACATCCCCTCGAAGAGCGCTTCGTAATTGCTTATGCAAATTTTCGTTGCAGTTTTCCGAGCAGTCACTTTTGGATCTCGGAGCCAAAAACCACCCCGAGTCACCCGATGTGCCAAAACTTTCCATCCTGCGCCAACTGCTGATGATGTTGTTTTTCCCGTTGGATATTGCCGATTCTTTAACTCATGAATGACGGCACCTTAATGCGGTTTACAAACTGGGTGCCGGTGCCAAGACGGCGAAATCTAAGATTTAACTTTGAGGCGAACATTGGGTAAAAAAAAATGCGTGCTTGTCTGTGTCATATTCGAACCCGCAATTTAAAGAGCTCAAGTTTAAAGGAGTTTCCCTCCTTGCTTTTTGAGATTAAGGTGGGAGGTCGAATGGTTTTTAAGACAGCAGTAGATTAGCATGCGAAATGGTCACGCAGAGTGCTCCCTCTGTAAATTACCTGAAGAATAACTTTTGAAATGCATTTCTCGGCTCTTTTCCAGAAACCCCTAAACTGTACACATCCAGCAGTACATTCCATGATAAGGATCACGATATATAGCTGCACACACCCCACATGTACTGCTGCAACCCCTGCTGGAGGGTCCTGTTCGCACCTTCCACATATATGCACAGCACATACCCCCATTTGGGCCATAAACTTTGCACCACCACAGTGGTGTGACACCCACAAAACAACCCAAAAAAACCACCCCCGCTTCACCCTAACTCCCTTTCCGGTGCCGCTGCCGTTGCCGTTGCTGGTGCCGGTGCTGCTGATGCCTGTTTCTCGCAGTCATCTTTAATGTGAAAAATAAATACAAATTTAAGCAAAGTAAATAAGAGGCTGGGGGCCCTGGCTAAAAATTAAAAACATATTTTCAGTTGCAATGTGTGCCTGGGTTGAGGATATGAATATTAAACTATTATTTGCAGATGTAGTTATTTGCATTTTGCCGACTAGGAGTGCCTAGTGTTCGCGCTGAGCTGGATAAGTCCTAGAGGAATGTATTCAATCCGAACCTCAGCATCCAGCCTACAACATCCAACATCAAACCTCCAGCCACTGCAGCGGCTCCCTCCTTGCGTGCAGAAATTCGGCTACAGTTGAGGGCTGTGAAAATGACCCCCCTGTTCATAAATTCCAGCGGCAATGGCAATTGCAATGCTGACTTTAAGGCAGCTCAGATTTTGCGTTTGACCGCCGCTTTAACAGCACACAGCAAGCCAGGACCCCAGCAATTTTGTTTATGATCCGGCCTCGGGGAGGGGCTTCAACATTGTCTGCGGCCGTATCCTCGTCTCGTGCTCGTCCTCTTCCTCGGTCTCCTCCAACACACAGAACTGCCAGATTTATGGCCAGCGGCAGTTTCGTGTGGACTCTAGGCGATGTCATTATCGGTGGTGATATCCCTATAAATTGCCTTAACGTGAATCAATTTCGCATTTTACCTATTTCAGGGTACGATTGGCACTCTGGTTGTTTCGGGACTCGGATTTTCATGTTTCACAGAGAACTGACGGATTTTTTGTTTTAAGTATTTCTCAAGATTTTATTTTGGGAGCAAACGTTTCGTTTTACAAACAAGAAGACCCAATCGAATTTAATTGTCATAATCAAAAACCGAAAGTGGGTTAACAACTTTCCGATCTCCTGAGTTTGAAGAGAAAAAGAGCCATTCGATGGGGAAAAAAATAATCCACTTGAAGTTGGTATAAAAATAGCTCCTGTTGTTTATTAAGAGTTTACGCCCTTTTGTGCTTGTGCCTTCAAATCATTAAAAACTAGATTCCGTTGCTTTGTGTGTTTATTCTGAAATTGATTTAGTGTCGATTAAGATATTTTTTGGTTTGAATTCGTAAAGCGAACTCCTCCAACCCTTGAAGATTTTTTAAACCTCTCACCCAAAGCCTCTTCAAAAAGCCTCAAAGTGGAGATCTGACCGCCACTTATTGTAGTCTAGTCTCTGAAGAATAAACTACAAGGACTAATACAAGAATTGGCCAGGTTATATTAGCTCGGGAGATGGTTTTCACCCAGTATGGTCCATAATAAGTAAAGCAGCTTTTACAAATTACGCCAATCGTTATTTATTTTACTTAGGATAGGAGAAGAGAGCTTCAGAATAGTAAATACCACGTTGATCTCTTTGAAAACAGGGTATGAGGCAAAAACTGTCTTTGAGAAATTATTCGACCTGTTTTTAAAGAAACTGCCAGTGTCCGACACAAAAATTCATAACAACTAATTACAATAATACAATAAAGTCTTCGACCTGCGGCGCTGCCGGGGCGAGTTTATTATTTTGTTAGTGTCTCCCCTTGCTGGCACACCAGGCGCCACTAACAAAGGCGACCGAAGGCAGGGCCTAGGGCTTCCACACGCCTCCGGTTTCGACGGGTCCTGGAAAATCAGCCGAACGCCAAAGACCAACGGCACGTAGATGCCGGCCATTGCAGTCAGTTAAACAATGTTGCACATTAACGCGTATCCCACCCACCCTAATGACCCATGCCCGCCCACCTACTCGGCACCACTTCCGCCAAACTCGAGGAGTGGCCGCAATGTCTGTGCATAAATAAAACATAAATAACCGACAGGCGTTGTCGGCCCTTGCTCCGTCCTCCCAGATTCCCGTCCTCCCGGCTCCC